TCCGCTGTACGGAAGATCTGATCCCGCCCGCTAAGCTTGCTGTCTACCATGACCCCAAGATACTTGGCAGAACGAACAGTTTAAACCTTGACGGCTCCCACCCTCAACGGCACTGATGGTGTCAATCAGTTTTTTGTCAAAATCACGATCTCTGTTTTGCTCAGAGCAAGGCGAGAGACCGTGGTCTGCCATCCATGCGTTTATGGTACGCATAACTCGGTTTAGCTTTAGCTGAGCCAGCTCAACGCTACGTGCAGCTATCAAAGCTTCAACGTCGTCTGCGTACCCAACCAAGACCGTTTACTCAGGCATTTCAGACCTCAGAAGGCTGTCATAAGCGACGTTCCAGAGGTCTGGGCCGAGTATGGAACCTTGGGCAGCACCAGAAGTGACACTCATCGTTCGCGGGCCCTCCGCAGTGCCATACGTTAGGAGGCGAAACCGGAGATAATCCTCTATGATGCGCATGAGGTATGCCGGCACGTGGAAGGTGTTCTCCAGAGCGTCCAGCATATCGCACCACCTCGCCGAATTAAATGCATTTCGCACATCGAGCGTTACGAGCAGCACAACCCTGCGAGAGTAGTGGTTAAAATCCTCAGCTCTCATCACGGCTTGCTTCACCTCCTCAATCGCATCAATCGTTGATCGCCCCATCCTGAATCCATACTGACGAGGGGAGAGGTCCCTCGCAGCGACAACGGCTGAATTTAGCCGGGAACGGATCAATTTCTCAAAGACTTTGCCAGCCGTATCCAACATACACAGAGGATGGCAGATCTGGGTCTCCCTTGCCCTTCCCAACAAGCACAAGCCTAGCTGTCTTCTAGCACAAGGGGAAACCCCCTTCAACCAGGCAGGCGTTGTACATGCTCAAAAGGATCAAGGGGTAGGTAGTCAAAACCTTCTTGAGGACTTCACCGGGTACCCCATCGGGACCAGGAGCCTTGTTGTTCTTCAGGGATATGACGGCCGCCACCAGCTCTTCAGGGCTGAAAAGTGGGACGTCGTCCACCCTTCTAAAATCCCGCAGTGGGCGCAACGTGTGAGCCGGGAAAAGGGACTCGACTATCCTCTCCATAGTGACCCTGTCCATGACGGAAGGTGGAGAGCGGGTTCCAAGTTTCTTGGTTACAAGTTTGTAACCCAGGCCCCACGGGTTGGAATCAACATCGTCCCTTAATTTATCCCAGCAACTGCGTTTACTCCGATTGATGGCTCGACGAAGATACCTCCTAGCCACCCTATAAGCATCCGACTTACGCCGTCTGTCTAGGGGTTCTCTAGTCCTGGTAGCAAGTCTTCTGGCCCTCAATGCTACTCGACGCAATTCCGCAATCTCGGCAGTCCACCAGTAAACAGGACGCTTATTTCACCGGTATATCCTGCGAGGCATAGACTCATCGCAGGCCGACACAATCAGTTTCATCGTGGATGCAACTAACGCCTCTGCGTGAGGCACGCCAGTTGTAGGATGAACCACCGGTCTTCTTCGTAGGATGGCTCCATTGAATTTTGCCACGTCCAGTTTTTTTATGTTCCATCGAACGGGCACTTGAAACGCTGCCACTTGTCTCTGATGACCATCCAGGACGTCAAAAATTATGTACTGGTGGTCACTGGCCGTGTAATCCTCCAGGACTCTCCAGGCTCTGATCCTTGACAAAAGAGACTCAGATGCAAGGGTAATGTCTGGGATCGTTCCCCGCATCCCAGGGCGCCGGAAAGTTGGCGTGTTGCCCTCGTTGACGACAACGAGTCCGGCTCTGGCAGCAAAGTCCAGAATGTACTTGCCCCGGGAATTTGTGAGGGTCATTCCCCACTCGACAGCCCTAGCATTAAAATCCCCACCCACGACGACGTGTCCTGTGGTATTGCACACGCTCTCTTCCAGGTGGTCTATCTTCTCATGAAAGTCACGGATGACCTCATTGGGAGTGAGGTAGACACTAATGTAAGTGACATCCCGGCACCGAACCCAAATGAAACCTCGGCCCTTCGCGTGACCCCGTACTTTTACTGTAGCTGCATTACGCGCCCAGATTGTAGCAGTACCAAGACTATCAGGGAACCAAAAAGCTGGGTCTCTATCACGGTACTGGTACTGTTCACTGACTAAAAGCGCGTCGACATCGTGTTCTAGGGCAAGCTGATATAGAAGTGCGACAGCCGTCCTGGATCGCTCAAGATTGCATTGAAGGATTCTTATCTTCGTGGGAGGGCTTTCGCTTGTTGTAGTGCAGATTTAAATGCACTGCACTGTCCAGACCCAGCTATATGCTTCAAGTGTTTTTCAGCGAGCCCATTTTCTTTGCAAAGAAAACAGGACTCGACTTGACCGACCTCCCCGCACCGAAGGCAGTTCTTGCTTCGGTCGGGTCCCTTGCAGTTTCGGGAGGAATGGCCAAAACAGAGGCATTTACTTCCACTCTCCGTCTGAGCCTGCAGTTGACCCAGCCGACTCTCAGATGTTGGAGTGCCAGTACCTTATTGGCATGTGCGTCTGCCATTTCGGCGACCGCCATCCGCTGCTGGCTCCTATTCGGTTTTGTGAGCCACGCCTTCAGAAAAGTTTGCCCACTAAGCTCGGGGATACCTTTCTTCAGGGCTTCCACAGCATCAACCTCCGTCGACACACAATCAATGTCTCGAACCTCGACTGATGTCTTTAGCTCAAGAAAACGGACGGTGCCCTGGCCTTCGACAGCTGCCTTCAGTTCCGCAGTAAAGGCTGCTTTGTCTTTCGACCTACCCAGTTCAAGGAGAACGTCCCCGTCCCGGGTTTGTCTAATTGACCGTACAACCGTATCGGTCTGCTCTGGCTTAGCATTGGCCTTGATTGCACCCAAGACCTCGGCAAAAGATCTCCCCCCTGAGGGTTTGACAATGATTGCCTCCATCCTGGGCTTTTTTGGCCGCAACCTTTTAGGTGCAGGCACCTAGCCGGGCCCAGTTTGGGCCACGCCAGTTGGCTTTGCCTTCACTGCCTCATTCTTCATGGAGGCGACCTCCGCCCGCTTCAATTGCCTCTTCTCCTTTTTGAAAAGGCGTTTTTCCACACAGCCCCAGGTGTCTCCTGACGCATATTCCTGACGCAGAAGCACAATCTCAGAGCTTTCCGACCGTGACGTCGCTGTTAAGGTTTCCTTCGGCATCCCTACAACAGTTCCCGGCAATGCCAGTTCGACATCTACATCGCCAACATTTTCTGCACCGTTTCCAGCTCCACTCTCCGAAGGAGATCCTAACGGGGGGAACGTTGAGCACTTGAAAGGTGCAGGTGGCGGAGATGTCCTTACGTTTTTCGGTGGTGGCGACCTCTTAAGCTTGGAGCTTCGATCAAAGAGGTTCTGCTCCACTTCAGACGTTTCTTTTTGCTCATTGGAGCTCCTATTCAAAGATGTGTTTGTAGGATTTTCATTAAAATTCATCGTGTTTTCTCCAGCGCATCGTTCGGCAAGGAGCGGCCCGGAATCAGTATACCCTCGGGGACAAAAAACCCCTACCCCGGTTCCCCGGGGCCCGGCTTCCGTTTGCCCTGCACCGGATACCTCACATTCCGGGGGTCGCCCGTCGCAATGCAGAGCCCAACCTCTGCATCCATGCCGCACTCCCTGACCAAGGACCGAAGTGGCTGGTTTCTCACGACCCACTGATAAAACCCATCGGCAGTGCAGAGCACACATCAACCCCTGCAACACAACAGGGGCACTCTCAGGGACTCCCAGTGAGTTCGTCGGTCACCCTTTTAGTCGCCTCTTACGACAAGCCCGAGAAGGCTGCGGTGCTATTCTAACCCGGTACCGCCCGGGGGGGTATCCCTCCTTATACTACTTCAGTTCGTTAAAATTAATATGCATGCGTTATGTGTGAGTACGTTAAATTTTGATTGCTGTACATACTTAAGGTTTTAAATTTTTACTTAAAGTATAATCTTTTTAACTAACTAGGTATTTAAAAAAAATCTTACAGCCTTTAAAACGTTTTCAATGAAGGCTAGAATAGTATCAGTCAAAATTAACGGCAACTCTGTTAAAAACCAAACTTCCAATTGAAAAATGTCGTATGAGGAGCAGTGATATTATTCAAACACAACTGTTTGATGGTTCCTTGAGTATCATATTGTCAACACCATACCTGCAATAGACCTGCAGCCTAGGTAGCCCAGTCAATAAAGGGATTGTGTTGGATGTAATTAGGGAAAGGCAGATTTTTTGCCTATTGACTATTACCATTTAGACAAGTGTTTAGCCAAAAGTCCCCATCCCTACTACCCTTCAACCGACCCCCCCCCCCTGTGCCCCCCTAAACATATAAAGTGTAAGGGTTTCGTAAATCACGTTTTTCTCGATTGTTAAACGACATATTTAATTTCAATTAGTTTTATTGTCTTTGTTATAAAATATCCTACAATCCTGTTCAGTTACCTTCGTCGTAGCTGTTACCGTTTGCTCGTTATTTGTATAAAAATGTAAAGGTTTATACATTTTTGAACATATAATTATTTTTGTCACCTTAACTTTTTACACTGACGTTTTTATGAAAAAAGGTTTAGTACAAAAGCTGTAGCTGCTTTCATTAGCTTTAAAATTATGTATAATAGTACTTACTTTTATGAATATCCTGCGAGATTCAGCCGGTGTAATGCAGTGTGCGTACTCAAGCAGTAAGCTAAGAGGGGCTGGCGCGGCGTTGCAATACTACATTGTGGTAATATGGAGTGTTTTTTTTTTTTTTTTTTTTTTTTTTACTTAATGTACTGCACTATCTCCATATCCCAACGCAGCAAACCTGTGACAAAGCAAATCTTTATTTATCTGGCTGGATATTTACTCAAACATTCCCTTAAAATCGTCTGAATTATTTCCTTATCGGATTATTTTAATGAATACTTAGGTTTGCTGCTACAGCCAAGTTATTGAAGAGTGTTTGTGTTTTACCACTATGTATGGCATAGGACATTGGAGATCAGTTATACTAATCTAACTTTCACTTTACAGAAAGGCACATGCCGAAGAAAACTTTCTGAAAAAGTAGTAGATTTCATTAAGTACGTGGATGTGACTAAAGGAAGTGAAAAGGCTTTGCAACAGGCTGTAGCTAAGATTGGACCAATTTCTGCCCTCATCGACAGGAGGCACCAGGCCTTCCTGCTGTACAAGAGCGGTAACGTAAATCATAACTATACATAATCAATATTCCTTAATTTGTACGTCATATGTTATGCTGTAACGACTCCTGCGATCCAACTAATATTAATTGAACCACAAGAATAATTACTGGACTTTAAACCAGGTATGAATGCCTGTGAGACGCCAGAACTTCGGGTCATAACAAAATAAAAGCATCTTATTCCAGAAAAGATTTATTACAACAATAAAAATTAAAATCAAATAAAATGACAATTCTCAACCAAAACTAACTAAGCAAATTTTTCTCTTTGTCAAACCTAACCAATTTATTTTCTTCCTATTAAACAGTACCTACTTTAAATGTGCAGTATTATCCTTCATATTTCAAATTACACACAATTTTTATCAAATAAAACAATGAGTTCTTTCAATATCCAGGTATCTAGGGGCCCCAACTTAATAATATCCACTATGTGGTACTCATCCGAAGTGTTCTGAAGAGAGCTCGATCCTTGAGTCTGAGGTAACGTCCATATTGTAGACATCAGCCACTCGAGTTGTCGATACAGGACCAGGACTGCCGGGATCAGCGACACCACGACTCCCCAGCTGGCAGACCACCTTCCAAGGTATCCTCCGCCTCGGGCTGTATTGTCTAGGTCCAAGGACAGCCTAGGCAGCCTCCGATGTTACCAAAGACAGACTAGCAGAGGTGCACATCCGGACGTAATCCATATTCCACAGGATGGAACCCTGTGAAAACTCCCCTTGCTTAGCCTTCCGATTTTATTTAAATATTTAACTCCCCTAACTCCTTGGTATGTTCCCCATACAGAAATAATAAGAAATGGATTGATTAATTTCATTGGTTTAAACTTATTTAAAATTGATCTTCATTGCCAATGGCGTAAACTCAAAATTATTTAACCTCAATACTGCACATAAGATATGACCATACAATTTTTCAAAATAATAACTAGCCTGAAAATGATTGACAGTCACAGTTACTTTGTTCCTTTTACTGAAATAAACTATACTTTCCAACAAAGTTGAATTTTAATGTCCATGACTCTAGGTGACAATGCAATATAGCCACATAGTTACTTCAGCATACTGCACACATTTCAATATAATTTATTTATTACTGTGGTTAATATTTCTTTACCAACTAATTACTCAACATCTTAAACATGTTTACATCTTTAAACACAATATCCTCAATAAAATAAGCAGTTTTTAATTAAAATGGACCTGAAAGAACAAGTTTGCAACCATGTGCTCACATATTTACAACTCAAATTACTATTATTTACACATTTTCATCTGGTCAATCTGGTTCAAACTTTTTAAATTCATTCCTGGAATAACTTTTTGTTTTTAAAATTATCCTACTAAAAATAACACAAAATTCTTACCTCCACTTGAGGGTTAAACACTTGTAGATATACTTCTTTACAGGAACAAGAGCACAAGATAAAAGACTTTGCATTGGCTAGGAACCCATATATATAACCACTGTTCCCAAGGCACTCAGCAAAAAAAAACTAACATCTGCCAACCTACAAATTTAAGTCTAACACATCCACTGTCTTAGCAAGAACTACCTTGGCCCACAATTATCAACAGCAAGTTATCCCTCTCCCTCACACTCACTCTCTGTCTCTCTCTCTCACTTACTATCTCCAAACCCCAATAATAACCTGTCCTGCTAGCACTGAACTAGCTTAATTGAAATTAAAACAAAACTTTACTTTAAATAATATTTTAAGCATTTTCTTAAACAGTAAAAAAAAAACTTGTAACAAACCAATTGTTACAAATCTCTCCTTTCAAAAAATAAAACTTTGTTCTTCAACACATAAACAACTTTTTATTTTTCGTAGAAACTCTTTTTTTATGTAAACAAGGAAATCAAACACTACTCCCCTTATTCATTGATAAGTCACCTAGTAAAGGATACCTTTCCCAAAAGATAACCCCATACCTCAGGCTGATAACAGTTTACCACACCAACTGTCTGTCCTTATCTTTCATTCATTGCCGTTATCAAACCTATGTTTATTTGTTCTAAATTGAGACTTCTTTCTCATTTCATACAAAGTAAGTTAGTTTTAGAAATCATTTGACCTCCAAAATCATGTTTAAACTCCTAGTCCAACCTCTGTTGACACATTGTGTTTACATAATAACCTTTCATCTCACTCCCCTTTCATAATCATAAAATTTTTACACCACAAATCCATATTATTTAAAACAACTATATACAACATCATTACATCTTCAATCATCATCTAAATAATCATCACTTTATAAATAATGAAGGTGTTATATCTTTCCTTTGTTTAATAGAATCCTTAAGACATTTAATTAATTTTTTTTTATATCAGAAGTGTAGACACATTACAAGATAGTCTTCCCCTTCTTGCATCTCAGATAAGTCCCTGGCCATGAACTTATCCTTTACAAGGCAAAGTAGATTATTGAAGACAAGATAGATGTTTAAGTATTATGCTCGAAGTCCCTGTGCACCGAGACATCCAAAACATACTCCTCATAACGGTCCTACCTCCTAATTACCACCTTTATTTCCAGATTAATTGTATTTGTAACTGCAGAATAAAACCTTCCTTATTTACAATTTTATCCTTATAACCTAACTTGACTAACTACTATTTACAACCCGGGTAAAACCTTTTTACGCTTTTTTCAGCTGGTCCACATGAGCTCTCTGGATAAATTTATAATCATCCACCTTCTGAAGTAACACTGTTACAGGAGTCAAGAAATGAATAATTCTAAATTTCTCAGACCACTTGTACGCTAACTTCGCTTGAAACTTGGCAGCTTTATTACTTATGTGATGGAGCTTTACATACACACAATCAAATAAGTTAAAGGGATGCTTTGCTCCCTCCTTCAACAGCCTTCGCTCCTTAGTTTTTGCATGGGCTAACTTCAGATTTTTAAGTGCATTATTGAATTTACTTTTAACGCCTTCCTTATCTGATGAATTTCCCACAAGATCCTTAATACCCCACACGGTAGATAGACCACAATTAGGCTCAAAATTATACATCAATGGGAATGCTGTATGTTTAGTGACATCATTGACTGCAGTGTTCAGTGCAAGCTGAATGTAATGTAGATTGGTGTCCCACTTATCATGACAATCATGGTGCAGAGCTACCATACTTTGTTTCACTGTCTTGATGTATCTCTCACTCTTATTCGATTTAGCATTATATGCTACAATTCTATGCAATTTGATCCCATATTTAAAACAGAAGTCCTTAAACCCAATACCTCTAAAATAACTTGCTGTTCGGTATTCATATTTTTAGAGTATTTAGTAATTAATCATTATGTTAATTAAGTCACTGGTTAATTAATCATGCTAATGTATATATAAATCACCACATTTATTGTAATATTATTTAGTCTCAGTAACAATTTATTGTATATAGACTCCCGCTTTCAATATTCAAATGAGATTGCTAAGCCTGCTCGAATTTCCCGCCACAGTAAGGCCTATTTTCCTGTACTACATACCCATGAATCACCTGACGCCGTGTTTGCTTCAATCGCATTTCCTATTGGCCATCGAATTCCTAGACCCCTCTAAACCACAATTGCATTTTTCAAAGTGTGAAGCCGGCGATCGGCGTCTGTCTGTCCACGGTCGGCGTCCATAACTCACGGTGTATTCCGTTTCTCGTATCTCGGGACATTAATTGCCCATTTTACCTCCCTTAAACGTATTTTTAGGCTATAGATTAATTATATCTGGCCTCCCTCTCCTCTATAGTACATTTAACTATATATACATTTTAATTTCCCCCTTTTGTTTGTGATTAAATTACTTAAATTGTGATCTAGTGCTTTCAGACTCTTCAAACCTCAAGACAGTGTGTGCGCGTCCGTGTATTACTTCTAGACTTTCCGTACGTTTTCACCGCGACTTCCGCGTATTAGTGAGCTCTTTGTGATTATGAACTTGGGTGCGTTGCGTTCTCCAAAATTCTACAAAACAGAAGCACTCGGTCTAAGGACTCCGCCATCCGCCATCGCTCCACCATAGACGACGCCGCTGCCATACTCTCCACCTTTGGATAATTGGACTCAAGGTACAACCTTAAAGTTTTGTGTGTGTTTTAATTAGACTCTAAAACTAATCTCATTTGCCCCTCACAAGACATTTTATTCCATCTCGGGACCTCAGTGCCCTTCAAATTGCAGATTCGCCATTTTCTCTAATTTAATTATTTTTCTCTTGAACTATTAATTAGTTCTGGTCCTTCGAGTTATTAATTATTTTCATTTTCACCCATTACGCCCCCAACATTTGGTCCTTCGAGCCGGATTCATTGTCTAAAGTCCTGTGGTAATTAATTTCAGCCAATTTTCATCATCAACCATATTTTTAGCGATCTGCAATTTTCAATTTTCGCCATATTGGTAAAATATCGGCTCGCGTTCGTTCCGTTCGTGGGCGTGGTTTAGCAATCTCTCTCCACTCGCGCGTCTGCGCAGGTCACAATCATGTACAATTTGCTGTTCTCTCTAGTAGTAGACAATTTTTCCCTACTTGGCTTTTTTATCCCGAAAACGGGATTTAGTTTTAGTTGCGGGATTTAGTCGCGTGCAGACGGCCGATACTAGTAGCAGACGCATATCTCAACTGTCACTCATCACTGTACAGCGTTTGTTGTTGTTTACATTTTCTCATTTAAGGTGTATTGTGTAATAAGGTTGATTGATATTATTAATAACCAACTATTAGGTTATTATTAGGTATTTTGGTTCTTATTACTAGTGTTGTACATATAAACAAAACTGTTAGCTAGCGTATTTGTATTGTGATTCATATTTCATTGATGGTTATAATTTTATGTTCCTTTCTCATTTATTAGGGTAATAACTTACTCTTTATGTTGCAATTCTTGTTTACTAAGGATTATTCTACACTGTTTCATTAATGAGGCCTATATTTTGTAACATCACCAATTGTTTGTAATTGTAGCTGGTTTAATTTCT